GGCAATTTTGTATTTCCAACTTTCATTTTTTTATTTATCTAGGGCTATACGGACTCGAACCGTAGACTTTCTCGGTAAAACAGATCAAACTTAATTATTATCAAAATGATCTGAGCTGTTTCAAAGACCCAACATGCATATTTTTTTTGCACTGGGCTCTTTCATTAACTGATAAAAATGTCGGTCAATTCGCCATATTTTTTCCTGACCGATTGAGCTCGAGTGTGCTCGATTGAGCGCTCAAATGGAAAATCTGACAGCACGTCTCGACTCTATCGAGTCAAAAGCTGACAACTCCCATCTTATGGTTGGTGCCCAAACGTATTTTTCGATGCACATGTGTGAGACCGAAGAGGAAGATGATGCTCTTCAGTGGGACGACGATGTTTCGGAAGAGGAGATTCATGGACTTGATCATGTCACCATCTCTCGAGTTCCTCTTCCTGCCACCGAGATGGAGCATTCACCTTCGGAGCCATCACACTGTGCTACCAAGTGGGCCAGAGTTAGCTCGACTTGCTCCACAGATTTGCTCGTTATTCCTGAGATTGATGATAGAGCTCGGGTGGGAAAAGCTCTATGTCAATTACTGGGGATTGCTCGTGCCCACATCAGGTTCCTCCAGAACACAGCCACCCGGATCCATCATGCTCGCCTTCTTGCCACCCTTCCCATGCTTCCACTTCTGGAAAATACGAAGGCGTGGCACGATCGCCACTTCTTTCTGGACCCTGGCTGAGCTCCACACAGGTTTCGTCAAGCTAATGACGTTAAACAAGCGCTTCTTGGGAGGCAACCCAAGTGATTTACTGCTTTCTTAGTTATTATCTTTTTGCTTTTTATTTTATATTTTAATAATTGGAGTTTGGAGTTTCTGTGTTTTTGTTGGCAGGTCCTAATGGCGAGCTCGGGCAGGAGAATTTAGTTGAATGAAGAGTTTCGAGGTTCTAGGCTGAGCATAGACGAATGGCTTGCACGTGAATGATTACTCTCCTCGATACACTTCGGTTTGCACACCCTTTTTCCCTTTTCTTTCTATCTTTTTTTTTTTATTTGTCTTTTCCCTTGTCTTTTCTTTTGAGTTTGTGTCTTGTGTTAGCTGCTAGTTTGGTTCATTATGTGAAATTGTTTTGTCCTTGCATTTGACTTCCTATTTTGAGTTGAAGCAATGAGGTCATTGCCTCATTTTAAGTGTGGGGGAGTCTATTTGGATTTTGCATGCTTATGTGGTGGGCCGGGCTAGTTTAGGTTTTTGTGTTGTTGAGCATGGTATTGGTGGATTATATGATTTGTTGATGGATATTTGATGAAATTGGGAAGTTGTGATGACGATTGTGTTGATCATTGCCTCGATATTGCTTGATTGCTTTGAGTGACATTTATTTACCTTGTGAGGTTTTGATCCTTACTCTTTCTTTCTTGTGAGATATTGGTCATATTCTTGAATGATTAGAACTTGCCTTGAGTTTGTTTGAAAGGAATCTATTAGAGTTTGAAATTGCGAATGTGATTGAGGCGTTTTGTTTGAATAGCTCACTTCTGCCTTGTTCTTTGGTCCTATTTATTATTCCACTAGTAGCCCGTTTGAGCTTAAAACCTTTTCTTGTCAGCCTGTTGACTGATTTGTGTGATGATTGGGTGATTGGTGGCATTTCTGAATATGGTGGACATTGAGTTGCATTTTGTTTTCTTGACCATTTAAAAAAACAAAAAGACAAAAAAAAAAAGAAAAACTTTGAGAGTTCACAAGACGAATCGAATGGATTCTGCTCCTCTTACTAGTCGATTCATTTTGACAGGTAATGAGCATTGGGAAACTACTGTAGGAAACTTGGATGACCTCCAATGTTCACACCTACAGAATGTTGTCCTTTTGATTCAATCTTGTTGGGAAAAAGTTACTCTCCAAATAAAAATAAAAAAAAAAAAGAGAAAAAGAAAAAAATAAGGTTAAGTGATGATGTTGCAACTTGTTCTGAGCATCTATGTATTGTTTGTGGAATGTTGGTTGGGTAGTAAGTGTGTTGTCATGATTATTCTGGATGAGTGGCGGAGAACTCGAGTAATCTATTTGCTCGAGAATTGTGATTGTTTATTTGAGCTTCTTTTCCTTTATATATCCTTACCTTGAACCAAATAGCCTACATTACAACCCGTAAAGTCCTCTTGATTCGCAACTTTTGAGCTTTGATTGTTTCTGAGTAATTTAAACGATTGGCAAGCATATGTTGAAACTTGAATATTGACCAATCTGAGCGATCCTATCATATATTCATGTAAAAGAATGAGTGAGGCATGTACTAATATTTCTGTATTTGAGAGTTTGTCATTTTGAGGCCAAGTTGATATTTGAGGCATATGGTCGTACAATCGTTGGAATTCAACCCGGTTGAGTTAAATATTTCTGAGGCTTTTCTTGTATGAAATCGATATTCATGCTCGTGTCTTGTTTTCTTTTCTTTTGTTTTTGTTCGGGACGAACAAAGGTTTAAGTGTGGGGGAGTTGTTTGTCCCATTTTTGTTACGTTTTTCGTGTCTATTTTCTCGTTCTTTTTCCCCCATTTTGAGTCACTTGTGTGGTTTTAGAGTCGTTTTGTCGTTTATTTCGTGTTTAGCGTCTTTGTGAGTATTTCTGTGTTTTTTCGGTTTTCTTCGTCTTTTCTTTCATTTTTTGTGTGCAGGTCAGAAGCTTTGGGAGGACAAGTTTTCAAAAAAATATGTGCTGGGATTACATAGTTAGATAGAGGGGTTCGTTAGCTACGCGTAGGAAAAAACGGAACTCAATTCCGAGTTCAAATGAGTCCAAACGAGCCCGAAAAGCAAAGTCCAGCAGGCTGCCCAGAACCTTACCTTAGCGGCGCTAACCCCCCTTAGCGGCGCTAAGGCCCCCTGCAAGTCCCAGAATTGTATAAAAACCCCAAAAACTCGTTTTCTTCTCCATTCTTTCACTCTTCCCCTCCTGGGGACGAACCCTAGGTCCAGAAAGACGCAAAAACTCCCTTCTCCTCCCTCTCTTCTTCTTCGTTTTTCTTCTTCTTTTCACTTTTCTTTTCATTTTTTTCTTCTTCTTCTTCTTTGCATTTTGGATTCAAGCTTGTATGAAGGTTCAACACTTGGATTGAATAAATTGTAAGAATTTCTTTTTCTCTTTGAATTAATTCATGAAAATGGTTGATTTAGGAGATATGTGATCGTGTGTTGAATTTAATATGCTTAGCTAAATCCGATTGGGATAGGAGATAATTGTTCTTGTTTGACGTGCATTTGTCGGGCTCGATTTGTTCATGCTTATGTGAGTTGAATTGATTCAGAATTGATAAATTTTGCTTGATTGATTGATATAATCGAAGAGTGACACTTCGATCTTGCGATTGGAAACAATTGAATGTTAATTTGTCGAGTTAGGGTCTGTCAATTCTATATGATTAGTTGATTAATCACCTTCTAGTTAATTAGCGACTTTTAGAACCGAAAGGGGAGAAGTCGTAGACCTAGGCTCTCATGAGGTAGATGATTTCGTAACTGAATAATCTATGGGTTGAGATTGAGATACATGTTTGTCGATGACCCGTCCCTTGTTACGAAAAGTTATTGGGATTGGGATATTTGGCCTGTGTTGTATGCCCAAGTTTGTTCATCTATGTTCAATCCCTTGTTACGAAGAGTTATTAGGAGCGAACCTCTAGATGTTTAAGCGAGAGTGTCAATCTCGAACCGAACGATTAGTTGCCCGGCTTTGCTAGAACTTGAATTAATTATCCCCGATTCCCTAGCTTCCCCATCTTTGTTTCCTTATATTCTTAGGTAGATTATTGTTTTTATTTTATTTCTTAGTTGATAATTATTCGACCCCCATTCTGATTAGAGTGTTTTGGAGTTATTTTCTTTTCGTGTGTAATCGACACCAAAGCTAGATTCCGAACCGCCTTCCTCGAGAGATCGACCCATGAAACGAATCCTTGATTCGATACTCGGTAAAATATAACAATTTGTACACAACAATTTTCCATAAAATTAATAATCTCTTGGTGAACTTCGATTTAACATTCATATTGTATGTATAAAAAATAAACTATATTTATCTTTATAACAATAATAAAATTATTTTTTAATATTAATTAGAAAAATAAAATTAAAATATATTTATATTTCAAGTAGTTATATGATATAAGGTATAAAAATTACTATAATAAAACACATGTAAGTCGCACAAGTAACAAGTGTCATTCTAAAATATATAATAATATTTATTTTCTTAAAAATGTAAATAAAATTTAAAATAATTTTTCTCATTAATTTTAAAATTTAAGAATAATATTTTAACAAACACCCGTGTAATACACGGGTGTTGTACTAGTGTATATTTATTACAGAACTCGTGCCAATACACACTTTGTGAATAACAATGGATGACTCCACAATCATAATAGATATATAGGTAAGACAATGTTGCTATAAAACCAACTGGTTGGTTCCCTTATAGAACCAACACCCAATTAGAAAGTTCCATGTGGGGCTGTCCCACATGGATATGGAATCAACACCCAATTAGACAGCTCCATGTGGGGCTGTCCCACATAAAACCCATGTAGGACAGCCCCACATGGAACAAAATCATTGGGTGTTGGTTCCATAAAGGAACCAACAAGTTGATTTTATAGCAACATTGATAGGTAAGATTAGTTGCTAAATCAAATAATAAACATTTGATTATGTCGTTTTATCAATTTACGGGGAAAGAGAAAAAAAAAAA